CTCACTGAGCTCCTCCCACATACAAAACACGGAAAGATGAGGAGCAAACGCAATAAGAGTAGGCTGTGTGTACCTAGGACATGCTGGATTTCATATATAGTTAGACTTTCCTCACTTTAGACACATATAAACAGTCATGATCCTTAATTTTGATGCTGGGTCTCCACCGCCCCTCATCTGCATATTTCATTAGTCTTCTAACCTATTTCTTTATCTCAGGTGTCACTCACATCTCATCTATTCTCCACCCTGCTGTCAGGATGATCCTGTAAAATGAAAATGGGATCATATTCTTAAAACTATTAGCTATGCCCACGGAATAAAGTCTGCTCTCACTAACCTGACCCTCTGTTTTCAGGTTCCTGCCCACCTTGTCCACTCACATCTCTTCTGTAAGATTGTTCCTAACCACCCTATCTACTTTATTCCAAGGACATCTATTAACATCATTACTTATTTGTCTATTTATCTTCCCTACTATATTATGAGTTTCTTGAAGAACGGGGTGGTGTTTTATTTGACTATTATTGTATACCAAGAGCCAAGAAGAGTGCCTGACACATAGTAGCTGTTCAACAAATTTTGTAAATTTTGATGAATGAGTGAATGAGCAAATGAGTTAATGCAAGAAAGGTGATTTTGGGACATGCTTAAAAGCACAGGCTTTGCAATACAGCAAACAAATAAATGTCTCCTTGATGGAGTGTAATGAAATGTAAAGGCAAATTTCACTACAAAATATTTATCTATTGCTGGCTATACATCTAAAGGGGTGATTATGTGTCTAAGGTTAACACATTTATGTCAGCTATTACCAAAATCGGTAAAATCGAAAATATCACAGAAAATATTCGGATTTTAAAACAATAGTATTCTCCTACACTAGTTCAGTAATCATGTCAGAGACAGAGAGGAAGGGGAGAGGGCAGAAGGAAGAATGGATGGAGAGAACTGAAACGATGCAGAAGCAAAAGATCCAAGAGGAAAGGCTCCAACAGAAGAAGATGCAGTGCAAAGAGCCAACTGCTTAGGCTGCTACTTCCAGAAGAGAGCTTAAATGCTGTGCTTAGGTCCTTACTACAGAAATAACATCTCTTTCTATAAACTAGATGAGTTCCTTTTATATATTCTGCTAAGCTGATTTTAATTATTGATTAAATGGAAAGATTTTGAGGCCTAGGTGGTTAAGGCAACAAGATAAAATGTGACTACAAATAATGATTTGATGAAGATCTACAGTCTGCTGCTAGACTGCAAACTCCTTGATAACCACAGAGTCCATTTTCATTAAAGTTCATCAAAACTGTAAGCATTTGTCAGACTAGCTGGTAATCGAGACCATAAAAACTAAGATGAATGAGCGGGAGGACAGTGGAGTTTGTAGGCAAAGAAAGGGATAAGTCAGGAACAAAAAAGTCAACAAGACATGGCCAGAACTCTGGAATTTCAGGGGCTGAGGTGGCAGAGGCTGAGCCAAAGTCAGAGGCAAAAGTCAGAATTTCTCCCAAAAGGTGAGTTGCAGTAATGTTGCAAATCACTGCTGCACCCTAGGGCGATTCTCCAGAAACTGAGACGTTGTGCCTTTAAAAAAGATGGTGTTTTCTGCTGATCATCTCACAGAATTGAAATCTATTTGAAAATTATCTCATATTTGGTGAAAAACTCTTTATTTTATGTTTTGGATCTTAAAATTTTACATGAGATTTGTATCTATCTCAATTGTTCAACCAAAAGATCCAAAACAAATTAAACTAGTTTTATTTTTATTGATATAATTACTTAAATGATCCTCAATAGAAAAACAACCTTCAATGTGCTTATTAGACTAATTAAAATTATCTAAAAAGATACAGTACAAATGTATTTTAGAAAGCAGTGCTCATCAGAAACATTCTAATTAACAGGAAATCAATCTTGAAGAGAATCATTAATATATATTGTTACCCACCAGTAAATTTTATAATAACCAACAGCTTATATTCAACTCATGAATAAAAGAAAATACTCATAGATCCTATTATTTCCCTTTAAGGCATGTTTTCTTGCATAGAACATTGGGCTGATTATATATGGCATATTTTCTTTTTTTCAGCTTAATGAAAACATTTTATATAGTAAAAGCATCATAAATAATGTTTAATATGTTTTATCCAATATAGTTCAGCCTAGAAAAAAAAAACATATATTGTCAACAACGCAGTATTTTTAGAAGCTACAATCTGTTTATTATAGGTTAGTCAATTTCTGCACTAATTCATTTAACTGGAGACTGTTCAGAAAATGTTTCTGGATTGACCTGTTAAGAATGTATTAGGAATTAACCTGGTTGATTCCATGATATATAGTGGAAAATTCCTAAGGTTATAATGACAGCTTTATTTCCTTCTCCTTCTATTATTATTTTAACATCAAATACATGGTTAGAAATACAAAGCACAAAGTTTATCAATATGCTATGTTGTCACTGAAGTGATTTTCTGGGCTAGTGATAATTCTGAATTCTATGTTATTTATAGCTCTAGTCTTGTATGTAGTAATCATTTATAAGACCAATGACATTTTCTGGTTATCCAAAATTAAAGCACTTAAGACAATCTAATGGTACTCTTACTTATCTAAGCTGACTAGCCTTAGAGGTGGAGGATGTGAAGAATGAGCAGTAAGTAGAAGATTGATTCAGACTGTGTGAAAATGAGGAAAACATTTTATGGAGCTTTTATTGCACAGATACGCCCTTATAGACAGCAAAATGTAGCAAAAAAAAAAAAAAAAAAAGCATAAAGATGTTCCTACTTTTAACCCAGTGATCTCACAGTTGAGAAAAACTGAATAGACGAGAAATTGAATATATGAGGATATTCACAGCAGCATTCTATAATTAACAGCTAATGGGGAACTATCTCAGTGGACAACAAGAGGAAAATAATGATTCATGAGATAACACTTGAAATAAAATTTATGATGCAACAACCTTTCAAATTAAAAATAATACTACGTAGCAACATGGAAAAGCTTATGATATAATGTTAATGGTTTCCACAATTTAATGACAATTATGTTAAATATATACTCAGGTGAACAAGGATCAAATGGTCATACGCAAAAATGAAAATATTTTTCATTACTGTAGTTCCCCCCACCCACTGCTATAGAGTCGATTCCGACTCATAGTGACCCTGTAGGACAGAGAAGAACTGCCCCCACAGGGTTTCCAAGGCTGTAAATCTTTATGGAAGCAGACTGCCACATCTTTCTCCTGCAGAGTGGCTGGTGGGTTAGAACCTCCGACCTTTCAGTTAGCAGCCAAGTGGTTAACCATTGTGCCACCAGGGCTCCTTGTTACTGTTGTTAATATTTATTATTAATTTTTAAACTTATTGTTGTGACACCTTTTTTGTTAAAATGAAATGAGTTATTTATTAATCTTACAATTTATTTTCTGAGTTCTAGTAGATAGTGCTAGGAAATCCAGTTGTAACACTAAAAAGAAGACTTCAGTGGGTTTTATCCAAGTTGGTATCCGGATGAATCATTACCACTTTGGTGATTCACAGGATCTTTAAAGGTACCTTCCAAAGGGGCCTAAAACAAAGCTTTCATAACTACTTTCATATGAGTTATGAAACTAGAAACACCCATCAGAGTTGTTGATTATTTTTTTTAGGTGTACATTTTGGCTATTATGCTCTTCTAACTCAGTATTTCTATCAATTTCCTGAAACATTCTTAGAGTGTTGAATATGTGCTGTAAGTTTCCACATCACATCTTTTAATCAGAATCAGTAGGCTGATTATATGAATCAGAGAACGAAAGTATTAGAGATCCAAAGGCAGAGGTTTCCAAAAAGGAATTAAGGTAAAATTGAAATAAATTAGGTAGGAGGACAGTAAATTAAAAAAAAAAAAAAGTTTTGTAGCAGGAGGGGCAAACTAAAAGGCTACAGTAGGGTCCAAAAGATAATAGAAACGAATACAGCAGGCTGAGTATAAGGTAATAGGGAATGATGGGGAGTGTGGCAAAAACCAGAGAGCATCCCTGTCTAAAAGCAGCAGTTACTACATGGTTCCAATGGTTTGCTGATATGCAAGAATGTAGACCCAGGGCTGCCAGACATCAAAATCTTCCAAAAGAGACGAGACATATAGATACTTATGTGAAATCTTGAGTTTTTAAATGCTGACAATTAATTTGAATTAGTTTTACTTTCTCCTTCCCTCTATTAGCCAAGTAATAGCTGCCCTTGGGCTTATTTTACTTCATGGGCTGTCCCTCTGCCACTTTCGACCTATGGTTAACATGCAAAAATTTCTCAAAATGATGATCTTTATTTGCCAGAAGTCATGTTTTCAATTGAGGCCTCTTCATAGGAAATAATTAAAAAAGAAAAGAAGAAGCTAAAGTAAATTGTGAACATATTAGTAAGCATAAATCAATAAGGGCTTGCAAACTACAAGAACATTATACTAAGACCTAAATGTTCCTGAGGAGCAAACACTTAAAGGATTTTACTTTTATTTTCTATATACTGATTAAGGAGACATTCTGAGTCACTACAAAAGGAAATTACCCCAAAAGGCTTTTTACAAAGATGGCTCCCTTTACTAAAATTACATTCAAAATGGTATGAACAAAATGACAAAATCTGACCAAAATGGACTTGCCATTAGCTACCAAATTGCAAACAGGATCCAGGTGTGTATCCTGCATTGTGCCTGTTGCTAATTTACCTTTACTTATCCCATTCCTTCCAACTCTCATTTTCCATCCTTGGCTGTTCAAAAGAAGTCCCTGGAGATGCCTAAGGAATTACAGTCTGGCTACAAATAAAGGAGGCAACAGGAAGCTAAGCGTAAAGGAGTTTTTACTTTAAGTGTAGGAATTCATACGTCATCAAAGTTAGACTGTGTGGATGGGTAGGCACGAGTGGATGGAAAGAAGGGGAGAGTGGTCTATTCAACTAATCATTTGCATCACATGCACCCAAGGAAAAAATGTTTACCTGGTGGAGCCACGGTTAACCTTTTTTCCTTGCTGAGCCGCTGCCCTTGGATGAATTCACTCATGGAAGGGGGGCCCTTCAGAAGAAATGATTCTGTGGAGGTGGGATCAGGGGGAACTCTTAATAAACTCTGTAGATAGGAAGCCCCTGAAGTCCTGGGACGGCTCTGATCACAAAGGGAAGGTGAAAATTGTCTTGCAGGAGATCCAAGAAAAATACACATAGGAAACAAAAGAGTTTTACTTTAATTACCTTTCAACACCTCACCAGTGACAACATTATTTATATTGCCATTTAATTTTTTTAAACATGTAAGTCAAGATTTTTGCTTTTTTTTCAGTTTCCACACCAGGATACAATTCTATTTGGAAACTGCATTGGATACTGGAAAAGAGACTTATTACAGTTAGTCAGTTTGAACTGCGAATAAAAAATACTTGTATTTCTTGATTCTTTACTGAAAGCTCCTAAAATAAAATTTTTACCATTACCTGAAAATAAAATATTAAGTAACTCAACATCCAGGACTCTGGGAAACGGTCACAAAATCAGGCCACTAAAAACCTTACAAGTGGTTTCTTTGAGCAATATTCACATACCAACTGAAAAAGCATAAAAACCTGCTTTTATGTAAAGAACTGTAAGTATTTCACTCCATTTTACCCAAATACATACATCCTCTTTCTGCCAGTCATCTGTTTTGGTAATATGGACAAAGGTTCACCTAAGAGAACACTTTCAGCTCCTTGTCCCGCTATCGAGAAGCTCGTAAATAGCACCATTATCAGAGGTACACTGACCTTGAAAATTGTAACCCTCCCCTTGTAAAACAGAGCTTCATTCTTAACATTCACCTTTTAGATACTGGTTTTTAGGTTGGAGGTAAGGGGGAGGCATATTTATGCACGGAAAGAGCAGCAAAAAATGTTGACAGGCACTTGAAAATTATATTACGGTGAATCAAGAGGTGGGATGAGGATGATATGTAAACACACTTCTCAAAAGGTTTTGATCTGCAAAGACCAACATTAGCAAGGTCTATATATCCAGCTCCCATTTTTTCCCTTTTCCTTCCCCTCCTCCATCCTCCACAATAAGAACACATTAATTCTTGCAGTTAACTAAAATCTGGCCACTGCACCATACCATGAAGATCGCTGCATGCATACCTTTTCCTCTGAGTGCCACTGCTGACCCGAATGGTGGGTGTCTGTGGGCCCTGACTATGCAGGAGGTAAGTGTCTATGGTGGGCACGGTGACTGATGCCTCCCCACTTACTTTAGGGCTGCCGATCTTGCTCTTTCCAAGTTTGCCTTTGCTGCGTCGAGACTGCTCATGGTCAAACTCTAAGTCCTCCAGCCGCTGGGTCAGGGCGAGTTTTTGCTGGATAGCCATTCGTAACAAAGTGTTTAGAGTCTTCTTCTCGTCCTCTGCGGCTGCTAGCTGTCTCTGCATTTCATCCAACTGTGTGACATACTCATCACATCTGGAACCAAAAAGGAAAAACAGTCAGGAGAAAATCTTGGTGAAGCTGAATTTGGAACTTAAGTTGAAAAGAAATAAATATTACTGGTATTTAGATATTAGACCACTGGTCTCCCTAGAAGCAGACCGGGGACAACCTATAATACTGGAAAATTGGAAACAGTAGAGTAGGTTTAATAAATGATGGTTCATACAATGGAGTACATATGGGGTATTTTAATAGGTGATATCTTGAAGTCCAGGGGCAGAATTATTGTGGGGGCTGTTCTGTGGTGACAGAAGAATCAATAGCAAAGTCAAGTCTCCACAGCACCTTAAGCGTGTTGTAGAGAGGCTCTTTCTGCTGTATAACATGGTATTTTTTGGAGGAATATGACAAGTTTCTTATAGGCTATATCTGTGATATCGAAAAGAGATCCTTGGGTGGCACAAATGGTTTGCCCTGGACTACTAACCTAAAGGTTGGCTGTTTGAACCCACCCAGAGGTGCAGGGGAAGAAAAGCCTGGCAATCTACAATCAGTAAAGATTACAGCCAAGAAAATTCTATGCAGCAGTTCTACTCTGTAAAACGTGGGGTCACCATGAGTCAGAATCGACTCAACGGCAACTGGTTCAGTTTGGCGGCATCCAAAAGAATAATGTTTATAGAGAAAACATTCCCTCCTTATCTATAGCTGTAGGTTTTATTTTAATATGGTGCAGATTGCAGCTGTCATTGTTTTCAACATGGCAGACTGGCCTGATTTAGAAACCTGAACATTTTCAATGATTTCTGCAGTGGATTAATTACTCTTGTGTGTGGCCTTTCTAGCCATGAGTTGGAATCAACTTTACGGCAACGGGTTTGGTTTTTTTCCTAGTCGTGGTCTTGTAACTCCCATCCAAGTGACTGTATGATAGGGTAATTGTGGTCAGAGAGCCAACTCCAGAGCAGAAAGGAGAGCCCATCACCACCACCAAAGGGGAGAGCCGCAGCAGAGACCCGCAGGAGATGGCGCAGTGGGCTCCCTTGCCCACAGAGAAAGCTGAGTGCCTTTCAGTAGAGACTGAGGGCCAGTGAGAAGTCTATGCCTAACCCACGAATTTGGGACTGGCCAGACTCCACAACCTCATGAGCTATTTCCTTTATATGGTTCATGAGTTCTGTGAGATGTTGCAGTGAATTAGGGAACCCAAAGACAGGAGGGAGAGTACTGAGGGGAGAGGGAGTAGTTGATATTAGAGATGATGGAGTGGTACAGCAGCTTAGAAAAGTTAGGTATTTGGGACATCTTTAACCTCTGCCTCATGGGAACCAGCTTTGTGCTGATCCTTATACAAGAAATTATTCATTTAATTTCTCATCCAGATGATAAGGCAACGACTTGTCAAAAAAAAAAAAAAAACAAAAAACAAAAAACCAAGCTTTGAACGGGACTTGGATATAAAAGAATGTCAGGAACATCTTTATTTCTGTTTGATACTTATGCTGCAGCAGGCAGACAAGGTCAGAGATCTTTTCCCCACCAAACATAAAACCTGAGCACATACATATCCGGAAGGAAGAAGTAGGGTGGGAGAAAAGCTCATCCTGAATTTTTCTCTTTGAGTTTATTTACCCAGTAAGATGTTGAGGGAGCCATAGTGGCCCAGTGGTTAAGAGCTATGGCTGCAAATCAAAAGGTCAGCAGTTCAAATCCACCAGCTTCTCCTTGGAAACCCTCTTGGGCAGTTCTACTATGTCCTATAGGGTCGCTATGAATCGGAATGACTCCGCAGCAATGGTTTTTTTTTTAAAAAGATATTAATAACAGGTACAGTCGGCCCTCCGTATCCATGGGTTTCGCATTCGCGGATTCAACTAACCATGGACCGAAAATACAAGCAGACCCCCACCCCCTCCTTATGCCCGGTTTCGGTTTCCCGAGGTCCCGGGGTCCTGAGCTCAGCTGGAGCCACGGCCTCCGCAGCGTGCATCCATTCAGCGGCAGCCTGCCGGGATCCAGCTCCCTACAGTCCTCAGAACTTCACCTCTTAGTCTTCCTTTTTCGGGGGCGCCTCGGCTAGGCCGCTCTCCGCAGGCAGGAGGGAGTGTGCCACCGAGGCAGGGCCTTGGTGCAGGTGTGGGCACTGGGGCGGGATGGGTTCTTGGGCCGTGGCCATTTTATAAAAGGAACTTGTGCATCCGCGGATTTTGGTATTCAAGGGAGTCCTGGAACCAATCCCCTGTGGACGGCGAGGTACGACTGTACTCTTCATTCGCCAGCAGATGGCTCTTGACTATATGGAATTCTTAAGTGCAAACTTTGAAATCAGCACCAGCCTTGGGGCATTTTAAAGGGGAAAAAAAACATCGTAAAGAAAAAGACAGGCTCTGTAGTGAAACATTTTAAGACCTAGGTGGGTCCCTATTTTTTTTTAACCTTGACTGTCAAGAAGGGGCACAGGGGCAATATGTATGTCATAAGAAAAAGCAGGGCGCTGTAAAATAAATACAATGTGAATTTCAAGAGCCTGAATTCATCTTATTTGGTCCGGTAACAGTATATTTTAAATACTATAAAGTAAGGCAGTTACTGTACCTGAAAAAACAAATGTCTTTGAAAATGCACTATTTAGAGGGTAATAATTCTTATATAAACCAGATTAAGGCTTTAAATATCCGTTTATATTTTTTAGAATTTTATTCTCAAAGAGAAAATTTATTTTCTTGATTCTACATGTCACACCAACTGATTTCTTTCATCAAATAGGGGGACATTGTTCCTCATTCCCATTCTTCATCCTGCCCCCATAATGGCCGGAGTTGTAACATTTTATTCCCCAAACTCTTCTCTGAGACCCAGAAAGCAGCTTCTTTCAATCCCTCCACACTCCTGTGGTCATCTGGGCATGCAGCCTCTTCGGAATCTCTAGGACATTCAATCACAAAGCATGAGTTTGAGCCCTTTCTCTCCTAATAAAGAAAGCTGGACAGATTCTAGAGACCCCTATAAAGCCAAGGATTTTTAAAAAAAATATTTTCACCAGCTACATGTGAATTATTCATTGCACCTGCAAGTAAAGTCATAGCTATGCTTTGTAAGTTTTGCATCCAGATTTGCATGATACAAAATATTTGAGGGGAGGCACTGAAATGTGACAGGAAAAAAAAGAGATGTCAATACTATATTGAAAATCTCAGACTTTTCTACCTTCAAAGTAATAAATTCTTAACAATAACTTCAGGTTTAAAAACAAAATATAGTGGTGCTTCATGATGAAACTAGTGTGGGGAGTAGTAACTAGTATTTAATTAATTGGCTGGACAATGTGAAAATTTTGGTGATATATGTAATTACATTTTAGAAATTATAACAAGTTTCGGTGATGATAATATAATATTCAGCTATGTTAGGAAGTGTTTTCTTTTTTCCTTATTGAAGGCTTTTTTTGTTGTTGTTGTTCCAATTCCTTAGGGCACATAAAGTCTTTTTCCTAATTTCAAAATATTTCCATGTAAATGCACTGCTTGATCCAGTGTGTCCAGTAGAGGGCTCTGGAGTAACAGCACAAAAGGTTTTATCTTCAGCTTGTTACAGTGGAATCTCATGTATTTCCTTCATACCTTACCCTTCTAGAGAGCACACCAAGTCACTCAAAATACACAAAGAATTTCGAAGTCTTTTCCCCACACAACATTCAATGTTAGCAAGAAAAAACTGTTACCTTGTTGCAAACATTGCTCTCAGGGATGAGAAAGTTGCTGCATCTTCTTTCAAAGCCTTCAATTCATTTCTAAGTTTTGTCATAGTTTCGGTCACCATTGCTTTTTCGTTTTCATATTTGTTCTTGAGATTAGCTAGTGCCACCTCAGCCGTCTGAAGCAGAAAAAATCATAATGCTTATACAATTTTCCTATCAGGATTTTATATACAGATCTCTTCATGGTGGGCTTATTATTTTCTTTCATAAACGGAAAGTGAAGTTGATTTGGTTAAATTTTATATAAATGTATATACATACTTCGGACACAGGGCAGTTTTTCTGGAATGTCTAACTGCATTACAAATCCATAATGTTGTTAAATTGCCCTAGAAACCAGCTGTGAGCAGAGTCAGTATTAGGGGCTAAGGGAATGACGGCAGTTCAGTATTTAAAACAGATTTATGAGGGTGTGGGATTTTCAGATATGGAGGCAGCCAAAATGAAAGGGCTCTTAACTTCATACAAGAAGAATTTTATCAAGGAGAAGTTAGTGAAGAAGCACAGCTTCCAAATGAGATACGTTAGAACTCAAATATTCCTTTTTTTTTTTTTTAGTTCAGTAAATTTCCCATAACATAAAATTAACCATTTTAAAGCAATCAATTCGGGGCATTTAGTATGTTCATAATATTGGGAAACTGCCACATCTATGTAATTCCAAAACATTTTCATCACCCCCAAAGAAAACCATGTACCCTTTAAGTAGTTACTGCCTACTCTTTCCTCACCGAGCCCTTGCCCACCACCATAAACTCAGATACTCTTGTGCCACCTATGCTCTGTGGACTAGAAACATAAAAGAATAAAAATATAGACCATTACAACTTATAACAGGAGTATATGGCAAACTATACTTCTATATTATTATATTTTTAAGGAAAAAAATCCATAATGAATCAATGATTTTCTTAGTCTTTGCATACAACTTCTTCAAAACAATGAATTAAAGTCAAATTTACTTCTTCACAATCTCCATAAAAGCTGAGAATCCAAAATGTTGAATGAGTTAAAATGTTTGTATGAATTTAAGATTGGGCAGGTCGGAAATTCTTGAAATTGATATTGCTTCAGATCAAGAACTAACTAGCCTGGCCTGATGTTTTACACCTTGATGTCTCAAATGTAGAAGGATTATCTAAAAATTGTAAATTGAATACCTTGTAATTTTTCTCTTTAAAAAAAAAAAAGGCTATGTCTCTGCATCAATCCCAACAAATGTGTTGCTTGATGATTAAAATACAAAAAACAAAACATCAAACCTAGCCTGGTACATAAAGGAAGTAAAAAAAGTTGAATGAATTAATACATGAAATCAGCAACTATTTAGAGTGTGCCCATTTGCTGTATAGCACATTGTATGCATAATGAAGCCAAACTACAAACATACCATTTTTATAAACTATAAACTATAGGATTAAAAAAAAAAAAAAGAAACAAAAACCCTACTACTATCCAGTCAATTCCAACTAATAGCGACCCTATAGGACAGAGTAGAACTGCCTGATTTGGTGAAATTGATTTAGGTTTCCAAGGAGCAGCTGGTGGACTCAAACTGATTACCTTTTGGTTAGGGGCCGAGTTCTTAACTATTCTTAACCAAAAGTATAAGACAGCTGTGTAAATATATCCAATATTAAAGAAAAAGTCCACTATTGATAAAAAGAAATCAATTACTAATGGAATTTTCCAGGAAGACTGCTCTGGTTTTTTACATTTCCTTTGTGGTGGTGCAGTGGTTAAGAGCTATGGCTCCTAACCAAAAGCTCTACAGTCAGAATCTACCAGAGGCTCCTTAGAAACCATATGGGGCAGTTCTATTGTGTCCTATCGCTATGAGTCAGAATCGACTCGACAGCAAATATGGTTTTTTGGTTTTTTTATGCTTGAAATAGATAGCTTCAACGTTCTTATGCAAAGCACTAACTTCTGTAGAGATAGTTTTTTAATTAAAAACAATGTTGGGGTGGGATAGTTTATTAATTTTTTGAATTCAAAGAAGTTTCTTATTAGTTTAGATTACATTTAAGTTCAGATTAAAATGAGAAGTTACTCATAAAATATTTTAGTATGTTCTGTAGTGACATTTTAGAAATATTATAGATTCAGGGAATTATCCATAATACAGAAATGGACCTGCAGAAAAACAACAGATGTTTAGTTTTTAAGAAGTTTAGACACATATCCATAAATTAGAACAGATAATGAAGTTTAAGCTGTGAAAGTAAATATGTAACAAGTTTGTAAGCACACAGAGCTACATGGAGAATGACAGAGGCACAAGATCTGAAGGAGAAGTACAAATTCATTCTACTGTTCGTGAGAAATGCCCAAAAGGATTCAGCTTTGTTTGTAGTTTTGTTTGTCCACAGGCTGTGCTAAGCTTTATCAGAGGTTAAGGAATTTTAAACACTGAATAAGCGAACTTTAAAACTGGGGCTGCTTGGCAGGACTGAATTGGTTAATTTCAGACCTAAACTGAAATTCTGTTTTAAATTAAGCTGCAACTAGGTTTGAAGCTTGCCTCTGTCTTCTACAAAAGACAAGTCGGCTTCCTATGAAAATTTCAATTGCTTGTGACACAAAGGGTGTAGAGACCCTGGCCTGAACTTACGTAAATAATCTTGTTATCTTAACTGCTCTCAGGCAGTTCATCCAGTGAATGCCTAGAAGGCCCTAACTCACTCCCTCCTAGCCAGATGGGCAACGTTTACATTTCAAAATGTTTCCAATTAGAGCTGATTTAATCCCCTTCCTAACCAAATGGTCAACTTTTACATTTCAAGGCCTCCAACTAGGGTTGAACTGGCCAGTCTACAATCAGTCACAAAACCTCCCACATCAGTAATGTCTACACGGTTTGCTTTGAAAATATTGCTTTAGTCAACTTGCACTGAGGAAATAGATTGATGTTAGGAAAGTTTGTAGTTTGCCAACCTCTCATAAATTTTTCCTCCCTTCGCCTGCTCTCCCTTGATGTGAAACCAGTTCGCCTTTGCTCTGCCTGATAAATACCTCACTGCCCACCCTGAAAGCCAGAACGCGTGCTGCCTCTTGTTTGAGGGCCCATGTGAGTCTCCATTTCATGAAATGACCTTATTTGTTTTCCTTGAATAAAATTCTTTGTTATTATTTCTAGCAGAGTGACAATCTAGTATTTTCACTAAGACAATACTTATAACCCATTAGTAGATTTGCTAACGTCTACACTGGCCATATTCCCCGTGTACTCTCAAAACTGACTTTGTAAATAAAGAATCTTTTTTCCAACTACAGAGATTTTCACAACCATTCCTTGAATATATCATCCTATTTCTCACCTCTGTGCCTCTCTACCTATTGTTTCCTCTGCCTGGAATTATTTCTTCCTCTTTTGGAAAACAACCTTCATCCTTTAAGAACCAACTCAATTAAAACTGCTTTTGTGAAGTCCTTTCCGATTCCTCTAGAAGATAGGAATCCCTAGGCGATATAAAAGTTAATGCACACAGCTGCTAAACAAAGGGTTGGAGGTTCAAGTTCACTGAGAGGCACCTCAGAAGAAAGTCCTGGCAATCTACTTCTGAAAAATCAGCCATTCATAACCCTAGGGAGAACAGTTCTACTCTGACACACATGGGATCGCCATGAGTTGGAACTGACTTGGTGGCACTGGTCTAGGAGGCATTAATTGATTTCTCTGCTATGTTCCCATAACTTGGATTACAGCATGCATAACACTGAACTGAAATCGTCTGTTTATGTTCTGACACCTCACTAACCTGTGAGCATCTTTTCTGAATCTCCAGCATCTAGCATGGTTCAGTACATAGTTGGTGCTTCATAAACCTTTACTTCTTGCATCAGAAGTCTATAAAAATAATCCTAAAGTATATTAAAAGATTTATAGAGAATATAAAATGCCAATTTTAAAATAGGAAGATTCCCTTTTTTTTTCTGTATACCACAAAATTCTCACCTTAGCTTTAAGAATGAACATTTTAGAATGTGTAAATATAATGGATGCCATTTGTGGATACTTGAAGCTATTTACGGTATATAAGCATTACAGTGACAGGCCCAACACCATTAAAATGCATACCAAATGCATGACTAGAAATACATTTTCCTTTAATTACTGAGCACATTAGGGATGTGACTCTACTGCACTGCAAATGGTATCATAAACCACTGTGAAAATAAGAATTTAGCCAGAAATGCTTTGGTCTACTCTGCGTTCCTACGGGATTGTTTATACACTAGTGCTTGTTACGTTCTATCCTCTAAATAGTTACAGGCATGTGCTGAATTCCTACTAAACAAAAATGAAACCATTGAGTTGATCCTGGCTCACAGCAACCCCATGTGTTTCAAAGTAGAAATGAGCTCCATAGGGTTTTCAAAGGCTGTGACCTTTCAGAAGTAGATCACCAGGACTTTCTTCTGAAGCACCTGAGTAGATTCAAACTGCCAACCTTTTTGTTAGTGGCCGAGCACTTACCCGTTTATGCTACCTAGGGACTCGTCCTACTAGATTGTTGTTAGCTGCCATCAAGTCGATTCTGACTCATGATGACCCTACTTAGTGGCTTTTGTAACTATGTAATCAATGAATGCTTGTTCCTGAGTTATTCTCTTTTGGCTGATCAACTATGCTTATCTATACCTATGTCAGTTAAGCACCTCGGCATGTTTACGGATCTAGGATTCCCGACTGAGGTTGGTTAATATTCAGCTTTCAGGAAGACATCAGAGGCCTTATCTGTATGGCTTTTCCAAGGATGCCCCAGGATATTACGTCCTTGATAAAATTTGTGTGGGCCTCATCTGATATGGTATTGGTTATTTATGACCACATTGAATCTTTGGGTCTTTGGATTATAGTGGAGCTTATGGTAACAAATTTCTTCATTCTAACATCAAACTGGAGTCAGATTTCTCACAAGTTCTTAATTTATCCTAATCTTTTCTCTTTCTCTGAAGTAGTGGCACAAAATAAGGTCTAATTTTGCCCTTAGATTTATACAAAACATGTTTCTAGAGTGAACAGTATTGCTTCTGGCATAGACCTCCACTTTTATATCAATGGACTTTGAAAACTAAAGGCACTAGAAAACTGCATTGTAGATGGTAACCCCCAGACAAGGAGAAGGAACTTTGAATCTGAGATTAACGCTCCCTCTCCAGAGAGTGAGCACCATGATCCTCTACTAGTCACTGGCACCGCTTGTACTTGCAAGGAGGCGTTTGATGCTTTGTTGTTTCTCTTTACCACCAACATTTATTCAACACCCTTCTTAAATATGTGTCTTTCAAGACTATCTTTTCAGATAAACTAAACAGAGGTTAAAAATATTTTTCTGCCTATATTCCACAGCACTCTCACCCAAGGTGGAAGACAAATTCAGTTATCAATGAGGTCCAGGAATTCATGTTGTACAATTCCTACTTATTCCAGAAGGACAAGTTCTATGGTTTGAAAAAAAAAATTTCCTACTGCTTAAGCTATGACCCAGGTGAATTAACACCCTAAGTTTTGGTTTTTTAAGTAAGTCTTAATTTCAGATATGTGGTCACTAGTAGAGGTCACGTTTGCTTGCACGTGCTCTCTCTCTCAATTTCTTATACTGCTAACACGCCCCCGAATGATTTGGTTTGGTGGTAACGATCTGTTTTCAAGTATGTCACTCAGTTTCTCATACAGCGGTCTCGTTTTTCATACCTGAGTCTCTGACTCAATCACTCATCTAGTACTTTGTTTCTCTAAGTCTGGGATGAAGGACATCTGCTATCTTGTTAGCACTTCTAAAAAGTGAGTCTTGAATTTGAACCCCCAACTCCAAAGCTGGGATCTATTTACTGGCTGACAGACCTCCCTCATCTTGCCTATACTATGACTCCCCTCTGTTGCTCCAGCTGCTGGCCAGTGTTTGTCTTTCTTGCTGCATCTCCTTGATGTACGCTGCACACCAGCCTGGCCTGCCACCTCTCCATCTGTTGTACCCACACTCACTGACTGCCAGGCTCCATCTAAGCACCACCCGAACTTCCTCTCTGCATCTGCAACTGGATCTTTTCTTCTGTTCCTACTTTAACTTCCTTACCTCCACCTCCACCGAAGAAGCCCTGGTGGCACAACAGTTAAGAGCTTGGCTGCTAACTAAAAGGTTGGTGGTTTGAACCCCCCCGGTGGCTCCATAGGAGAAAGACCTGGCCATCTGCTTCTGTAAAGATTACAGCCTAGAAAACCCTATGGGGCAGTTCTATTCTGCACACATGGGGTCACTATGAGTCAGAACCAAGTCGATGGCACCCAGCAACAACCTCCACCTAGCTGGGCATAGCTACTATTTCATCCATTCACTCACTTAAAAATAAGTTAAGTTTTGACTAGCATTGTGAATGTAGTTTGTTTTATTCCTCCACTGACCAGGAATCTGACTCTCATTCTGTTGACAGTGGGTACTCAACAAAATCAAGGAATAAATTAGCTAAGAGAGCTTTGACTAGCATTCTTTGTCAACTGAGTGAGATTACCTGTTTGTTGGCTTTCAACACTGCCCTCAACGTGGCAATCTGCTCTCGTTTTGTGCTCAGCAGGGACTTCAGCTTGAGGAGCTCTTCCATTAAGCCTTCCTTGTCTTTATCGATCATGGGTGCCAGCTCCCGTGCTGCTGCTCTTTGGCGAGACAGTTGCAAGGACCGGTCTACAGCTTTCTGCAGATGCTTGATTTGGTCCCGGATTATGGCATTAAGGTTGTAGATATTCATTGGCTCTTTACGGATGTCACTTGTATCCAGTACTGGAGATGACGGTGGGGCAGTAATAACAGGAGAGATTGTGGGAGTCTTAGTTGGACTTGGTTCTTTGCTGGCCTCTGCATTTTCTTTTGAAACTGGTTCAGATGAGGTCCTTGTTTCTACCGGGGATGACACACCCCGCCTGGCTAACCGTGGAGACAAAAGTCCCCTGGGATCATCAGGCCCTTTCAGACTGCCACTGCGGGTGACTCTGCTTTGCCTATAGTAGTCCAGCATAACTCTGTTGGGAGTTTCATTATTACACAGACAAACGTGGTGGTAAAGCTGAGCTAGCTCCTCACTAAATGTTACTAACTCATCCTGGGCTGTATTAAGGGTATTGTGGTTTTCGTTGGCTATACTGGTTATCCTTTCCAACTCCTTCTCCATGTGGACCATCTTCTCACCACTCTCTTTGGTGGTCTTCTCAAGGCTTGTCACCTGCTCATCATACATCTGGATCTTACTCTCATACTTGGCCTTCTCGTCAGTATAGTTTTCTACAGATTTATTATATTTCTCCTTTAAGGCCTTAATTTCAGCTTTCAAATCGATCACCTCAGTTACTGCCACCCTGTACTTGCACTCAAGGATCTCTAAACCATTGATATCCACCTCATAGTCATGGGCCTCTTCCCCTGAGTCCCGGCCCTTCTCCCCGTCCAGCTCCTTGAGCTCTTTGCTGCTCTGCAGGCCCCTCATGGCATTGACATGCTCTGTTAGCCGGTGCACCCGTTCGTGCTGCTCTGTCAGTGCCCCCTTGGTGTGTTCCAGCTGCGTTTGTGACTCCTGGAGGTTGGCCAGAAGAATAGCCTTTTCCCGCTCTACCTGCAATGGCAAAAGAAAGTCAATGAATGATGTCAATGCAATGCCAATGGTGAACTTAATCCATTCACTGTCAGGTACGTCTACATTTTAAACAACTGCAGCAGAGCCAAAGTTCCCATTATTTCAGATTAAACTGGAGTGTATTCAATTGACTTTAGTAATGTAACCTTATTTTACAGGTTCTGGTAAGTCAATATAAAAATATATAATATTAAAAGAATTAGGCTGCATACATTACCTATTCACACTCTTATGTACCATACAAATACAAACTCATGGAACTTGAATGTTATTCAACAATCTTTCTTTTATCTTTTAGCACCTTGGGAAAACATAAAATGACTTCAAGAGATAAGCACAGTATTTGGCACTGGTTTTATTTTGGGGACTGTAGAGGACATCTGGTCCTTAGTTCAAGTGGGACAAGTGACAGTCTTAAGGTACTTATGAACCATCATCTTCCTCCCAGAACACAACCCAAAATCAGGTTTAAAACCTAAGGCTTTAACTTAATGAATAATGCCGAATACCTTAACCATTCCCCTAACAATAAACATTTAATCCCCAAAATAGACATGTACTCACTTTGATAATTTTCAATATGAAGTCACAGAATCTAGAGCTTTAAAGTTAAAAGAACAATTTATAAATCATTTCAATTCCTTCAGTCCAAACTAGGAATTTTTAAAATTATCAATTAATTTGAATAACATGACACTTTTATTATTGTACAGGTGGCAAACATTATTATATAATGACAAATATTCAGGCCTCTATATAAAATATTGTCCCATTAAACATAGGTATATAAGGAATTATAATATGAGAATTTTAAAAAACATTTTCTCTTATTCCATATGGGTAACCACTATTATGAATTAGAAGCTGTAAAATATTTATAATGTAAATGTTTTTCCATAAACAAATTATATTGTTTACAGTTTAAAAGCATTACATAAAAGCTATCATGCTGTTCATATCCTCCTGTACTTGCTTTTTCTTTCTTCTTCTTTATTTAATTTTTAATAAACCATCATGAAACTTGCTTTAAGGATAATGGATTGATGTTGAATGTCTTTACATCTAAAAGTCTTTACATCTAAAGACTTCAACTTTCAAATTTTCCTAGATTATACATTAAATCTCTCCAAACTTCTAAATTCCTAGGAGGCAAATAAAGTTATTACGTTTAATTAATATTTATTTTAACCATCATATTACTTTGGAATATATGTATGTATATATATGTATGTGTATGTATAACAGAATAGGAGGTTTATGATCCTTTGTAGTTCTTAATGTCCTTCATATAATTATCATGTATAGACAGTCCTCACTTTGCAAGATTACAATATGCATGAATTTCAGTTAACATAGTTTAATTAAAACACCAAACCCACCCAAACCAAACCCACTGCCGTCAAGTCGATTCTGAATCATAGTGACCCTACAGGACAGAGGAGATCTTCCTCATAAGGTTTCCAAGGCTGTAATCTTTATGGAAGCAGATGGCTACATCTTTCTCCTTCGGAGTGGCTGGTGGGTTCACACTGCCAACCTTCCGGTTAGCAGCCAAGTGCTTAACCAAGAGCCACCGGGGCACCAATTAAAACACCAGTTTCCCCAAAATATGGTTCAAATTTCAGTTACCAGGTATATTAACTGTGAGTAAAACATAAAGTACAAACTTTGCTGCTAGCTTTTCAGTCCACAGATCACCATGTAATACCATCACAATCAGTGACCAGTCCCATGACTTCTTTCAAAGTCTGTTTTCTGTTATTCAGTTCATGCAGCAAAGTGTATAGTTGTGCTGTCTTATTGTTTCCCAATGATAAACCAACAAGACATTTCACAAAAATGAGAAATTGTAAAAGGAAATTAGCCAAAAAAGATGAAAACGCAGCAAAGAGTAATAATGCTGGAAGTGAAATAAAATCAAAGTTATAGAAGAAATAGCCAATGTTGGGAATGCTGACACAGCGCCATTCGAGAGACTCAGATATGCAGCCAAAGGAACTCAGTGAAGGTCAACTTACAGATATAAACCACTTGTCATCAAGTGGATTGCAACTCATAGCGACCCCATGTGTGTCAGAGCAGAACTGTGCTCCACAGGGTTTTTAATGGCTAATTTTGAGTTGCCTCAGGGTGGACTTGAACCTCCAATCTTTCTGTTAGCAGCCAAGCATGTCAATAATCTGCACTACCCAGGGACTCCACTTACAGACATGAATGAGGACGATGGCTGGGACACACAGGAGGAAGATGTCCTAGAAGAAGTGACGCCAGCACATTCAATATATTCTCAGAGTTATTTCAAGATTTTGAAAATGCAAAGGATAAAATGTTGGAAGCTGGTCCAAACTTAGAAATTTCTGAGTATGATAATTCAACAACACCTAGAAAAGATATTCACCCAGTATCCTAAGTTATACAACATGAAGACAAGTTGAACTACACTTGATAAGCTTTTTACAAAGAAATCAAATACTTTAATTCTCAATGTTTCTAATGTTATAAACGACAGTGTACTAAATCAATAATTTTACCATTTTAAAAATTTCCCTGTACTTTTATAACTAACAGTAAGAGAGTTTTGAATGTTTTGACAAAAGACTTTAAAGGTCACAATACAATTGTAATTTTCCCTGTTAATTATTAATATTATTTTGCATGAGCTCAGTTAGCAGTCATTTTTATAGTTCCACACCACGGTGCAAAGCCTGTATACTATAATCAGTATATTAGAACTTACAATATAGTTTTGTTACTTAAAATTATTGTCTAGAGGCTTTTAAATTGTAGCTTTGATTTTATAGCAGAGTGTTTGGCCATATATATGTCAGGAATACAAAAATCCATGAGAAAATAATACTGATCTTTAGGTAATCCCATTTACAATATATTTTTGAGCAATGCACTATGGCCTATGTGAAGCACCTTGTTAATTAGTTTAACTCATCCCTTCCCTGTTTGCTGTGGTGTTTGAGACATAGATATTTTAGAAAGACAAGTTCTGGGTAATCTGTATTAATATATTCATCTCAGCCCAAGAAGTAGCAGTCGGCTTTAGAGATTTCAAGCTAAATATGTTCATATAAAAAACATAAAAATTTCCCTAAAGACACACTCAAGTAATTCTTTGTATCTCAAGCCATAATTACATCTGAAGATAAGAAGTAATATTCATAAAACTTGATCTGGAAAGTTCTTTGTTCTCCCTTTCTTTTAATAGGCAAAACATTTAGAGTCCAGAAAAATTTGGCTGGTTCTAAAAAAGTAACCAGTCCAAAGTCACCCAGTCAGCTCCCCACCCAGAATTGTAGACTATTGCGTGTTCAGATATGTTTCAAGCAACAGTCATAGATTTAAATATCACCCTAAATCTGGGATATTGGGAAGGACTCATGTTAGTATTTTCCTTCCAGAACTTAAAACACTTTCTTTCAGTGGACATTTTAAAACAAGATCACAAAACCTCTCTTCATAAAATAAAACCATCTACAGGAATTCATTGTATAAATGACCACCAATATCTTCTAAATAAAATAGCTTTATAATCTCATGGCCTTGACAAATAACCCATATTTCAAACTCATTCATTTCAGTTTTATTATGCGCTATGGCTGCAGAAACCAAAATATTCCAAAAAATAGTATGGTAGGTAAAGAACTGAGGCTGTGGCATCAGAGAATTCTGGTGTCAAGCCTTATCACCAACATTTAGTTAGCTATGTGATTCTGTGCACGCTTCAGTTTCTTTATCTATAAAATGCGCTTAATAGTGTCTGCCTCACAGAGACATTTTGATGAGTAAAGGAGTTAGTGAATTTAGAACTCAAGGCATAGTAGTAATATCTGTTAACACATTGTTAGCTGTGACCCAGTTCTCACGACCAATGCTTTTACAGTACAAAAACATCTGTTTTCACAAATTTGTACCTGTATGTGCAAAAGTTACTCATTGATTTCAGAGTCAGGATGTATCTGAATACAAATCCTCTTGGCTGGGTCTTCATTAGCTATAATGAATTGTATCTCCATACCTGAAAATGAGTTTATTTACTCAAAGTACTGGGCAATAATTTTACGTGAGAAACCAGGTTATTTTGTTGTATGGTATTCAATGAATGTTGTTGTTGTTAGGTGCCGTCAAGTCGGTTCTGACTCATAGTGACCCTACGTACAACCAAACAAAGCACTGCTTGGTTCTGTGCCATCCTCACAATCATTCTTATGCGTGAGCCCCTTGTTGCAGCCACTGTGTCAATCCATCTCATTGACAGTCTTCCTCTTTTTCACTGACCCTCTACTCTACCAAGCATGATGTCCTTCTCCAGGGACTGGTCCTTCATGATAACATGTCCAAAGTAACTGCGACATAATCTCACCATCCTTGGTTCCAAGGAGCATTCTGCCTGTACTTCTTCGAAGACTGATTTGTTTGTTCTTCTGGCAGTCCGTGGTATACTCAATATTCTTCACCAACACCATAATTCAAAGGCATCAATTCTTTGTCAGTCTTCCTTATTCACTGTCCAGCTTTCATATGCATACGAGGCAACTGAAAATATCATGGCTTGGGTCGGGCACACCTTAGTACTTAAAGTGACGTCTTTGCTTTTTAACACTTTAAAGAGATCTTTTGCAGCAGATTTGCCCAATGCAATGCATCTTTTGATATCTTTTAATTTTTTTTTTTTTTTTACTGTACTTTAGATAAAGGTTTACAGAGCAAATAGTTTCTCATTAAACAGTACACATATTGTTTTATGACATTGGTTAACAACACCACGACATGTCAACACTCTCCCTTCTTGACCTTGGGTTCCCTATTATCGGCTTTCCTGTCCCCTCCCGCCTTCTAGTCCTTGTCCCTGGGCTGTTGTGCCCCATTAGTCTCGTTTTGTTTTATGGGGTTGTCTAATCTTTGGCTAAAGGGTGAACCTTGGGAGTGACTTCATTACTGAGCTAAAAGGGTGTCCGGGGCCATTCTCT